ACAGCCATGTCACATTGAAACACTGTTTCCCTCACGATCTCCGAAGTTAAGCAACTTCGATACCTGGTCAGTACCTAGATGGGTGACCACTTGGGAATACCAGTTGCTGTGAGCTTTGATGGTATAATCGATAATAGGTCGGAATTGTTAATCGGAGATCCGTGTTCCAATTCTAGTCGAGTTCATTACCTTCACTTACTTGACAAAACTCTTGAGAAAAATATGAATCCAACTCCTACCCGCCCACTCTCCAGCTATGGCTGCAAAGCTGGTCAGATTGGACCATATATCCTTGCACTCTAATAGGGTCTCGTTTACATGAATTCACGTGTACTACTTGATTGACTGTTAGGTCTCATTGTTTTGCAGCTGAACTAGCTAGATGCAACCGTAAGTTCTGTTCTCGTAGTTTCTTTTCTCACACTTGTCTTCTTCAGAACTCTAGCCTGTCACCTACAATCTTCATAAAGTTATTTTTTTTTAAGCGTTTCACCCCAAGTAAGCCACTAGCACACAAGGTGTTACAGAGAGTTGGAGCTAGAGCAAAGAGGAGTGATAGAGGAAAGGATGAAGAGAAGGATAGGGGATAGATCAGGGCATCCGGAGACGTCGATTGACATTACATTACATTTGAATTGTTCGAGATTATAAAAATGCAACGTCAATCGCCATCTTTTCTCTTCTTGAACATTTCTCTTCCGAAAAGTCTTCTCATTCTCTTTCCTTCTAAGTAATACATTTATTTTGCAACCCTTCCCCGTTAATGTGAAAGTGCAAATATACACTGATGTATTTAGATCAAACAACAGTCGAGTTACGAACTTATTGATTCATTCTCATTCGAATGATTTCGTTCTGTAAATTGGATCAGTTGCTAGGTCTACTGCTCAGATGATTATTTTACTGTGCTATGCAAGAGAAGAGTACTCATAAGAAATTACAAAAAAATATCTGTCCTCTTTTTCATGGAACTGTCATCTAGCCTGACGTGCTATGCCATTTAGCCATGAAGGAAGCGTGTGATTAGCAAATCAAGGGAAATTTGTAATTTAAAGGCAGTAATTCAAACTTGCTTAAGGTCTTCTGCTAAGAAATTTTGTTCAGTGCGTCATGACAGACAATTTTCATCCTCAGAATTCATCATACCCCCCATTCTCCCATATATTGAATTCTACTGTCATCTGGTCGTGGGATACAGGCTATATATCGTGACATTCTCGACAAAATCTCAAGATGAGTCTGTAATCTTTTTTTTTATGGCAACTCTTCTAACGAGCTTTCTTCTTTGGTATGGATTTAAGAATACTACTAGATTAGCTATTAGGTCCCATAGTTTTGATGTTGAAATAGCGAGTAGTTTAGTGAGCCAGATGCACTTAATATCTATGGCATTGCTTTCTACTAAAAAGCAGGAAGTATTGCTGCCATATATGGTCTGTGGCACATTCTGTTTACCTCGGAGTTCTTGACAAGATCCAGAGACGGATATGTAATATAATTGGCCCTGATCTGGCGTCTCGTCTACAGTCACTCCCTCACAGATGCGCCGTCGCCTCTCTCTGTCTTTTCTACAAATACTTTCATGGTAATTGCTCTGATGAGCTACTTTCACTGGTTCCCAGACTCCATGAATTCAAGCGCCCTACGAGGCTGGCATCCCGCTCCCACCCTTACACTGTAGAAACTTTTAAATGTAGCCGTCTTTTCTACTCCAATAGCTTCATACCTCGCACCTCTAGCCTGTAGAACACCCTTCCCTATTACTGTTTCCCTGAGAGCTATAATCTCCAACTATTCAAATGTAATGTCAATCGACATCTCCAGTTACCTTGATCTATCCACTATCCCTCTCCTCATCCTTTCTTCTATCACTCCTATCTGCTCTTGCTCCAAATCTTCTGCAACCCCCTGCATCCTAGTGGCTTCACACCTTGCTCGGGGTGTAATGCTTAAAAAAAATGTTCTATTCTCATAGGATCTTTACTCACATTTCTCATTATAACCTATCACCTACCATCTTCATAAAGTTAAATGCAACGTCAATCGCCATCTTTTCTCTTCTTGACCCCTGTTCTTTTATTATCCTTTCTCTTCAATAAAGTCTTCGCATTCTCTTTCACTTTCAGTAATACATTTATTTTGCAACAACTAATATATACTTTTCTGTTAACCCCTTTCCTGTTAATGTCCTTAATACAACTCTTCTCCGCTAATGTGACAGAGCAGATATTATACACTGGTATATTTAGATCAAACAGCAGTCGTGTTACGAACTTATTGATTCACTCTCATTCGAATGATTTCGTCCTGTAAATTGGATCAGTTGGTAGGTCTACTGCTCGAATTGTTATTTCATTGTCATGCCAGACTCATAAGAATCTGTCTTGCAAATTTATAAATCTACCATTCAACTGTGCATTGAATATTACTCTCATATCTGGCCGGTTACCCTTGCAATATATCTCGAAATTTTCAAGTCCTGAGTATAACGATACACTACGTCCAACAGCAAGGCTTTTGATAGGGAGATTGGAGGTTGCAAGGAACGTGGAACCACCTCTTAATTGCTGTTTCTCACAGGTCCAACCTGACCCGGTGTTACGATCCCAGGTATGGGCAAACATTGAACCCCAAACAAAACACAATGAAAGTATAAAACTACATTTTTATAGTAAAAATACCAGCAATATATTTTTATATTATATATATATATATATATATATATATATATATATATATATATATATATATTAGGTTACAAAAATAATATAGTTTTTGACGTTAAAAAACACGTCAAAAAACTATATTATTTTTGCACCAACCTAATAACAATACCTATTTATAGTAAAATTACCAACATTAGATTTTATATTAGAATTACCAAGAACAGGTTTCATAGATAAATGACTAACAATAGATTTTATCTGTAGTTGAAGGCATACAATTGCGATACAGGACGGCCTAAAAAAATTGACATCATTTTAAAAGCAATTATCTTGTAAACTACTAAGTCTAGCTCAATGAAATTGAACAGTTTCAATATGTTCACCGCCTGTGGGTAGTTAAGCTCTTGCCAAACACGCTGTAGCATGTGTCCGGTAACATTATGCAGTGCGGAAGTGATTCTCTGCTTGAGTTCATCAATGCTAGCAGGAAGAAAGGGGACATAGACCAGACCCTTCACATATCAGCATAAAAAGAAATCACACGTAGACAGGTCCGGTGACCTTCGACGGCCATTTCATCAGAAAACTGTCTTCATCTCCATCATGCCCGATCCATCTCTCTGGCAGATTCTCATTGAGATAAGAAAAATAAAACATTAAATATAAAATTTCAGCAAGAATTCTCAAAATTATGGACCTGCGAAATGATGCGAAATTTTTTGGGACACCTGTATTTAGTTGAAGCCATAAATTGTGTTCAAAATATTTAGATTTCGGCATTAAATAACCCATAGAGGTGTTGATATGCCGCTAAACAAAATCATCAAAGCCAACTATAATCCAAAGTTCTATAATGTTACGTCTTGACCTGGCATCTCGTCTAAAATCAATTTCCCACCAATTTGTCGTGGCTTCTCTCTGTCTTTTCAATAAAGTATTTCTATGACAATTGTTTTAAAGAGTTTTCTTCCTTGGTGTTTCAAATGCGTGAATTCACGCGTAATACTAGATTGGCAGTTAGGTCTCACCGTTTTTAGGTAGATTGAACCGCAAGTTCTACTCTAATAGTTTATTCTACCGGACTCCAAGACTGGTACACTCTCTTATTTCTTCTGGTATCTCCAATTCTTAATTTTTAAAGCCATCTTCTGTCTACCCTTCTCATCAATAACGAATACTCGCTTTCTTTCACTCTCAGTAACTATAATATATATATATATGTATGTGTGTGTGTGTGTGTGTGTGTGTGTGTGTGTGTGTCGTAATCATGAATTAGTAAAATACAGGGAGATTAAAAAGTAATTCCCTATTTTATGTGTGATGGACTCTCTCATCTAACAATAATTTTTACAATACGGGAGAGTTCATCATACAGAAAATAGGGTGTTACATTTCAATCACAGTATATATATATATATATATATATATATATATATATATATATATATATATATATAAAAAAAGAGAAATAATGTGGATTTGTTTTAGTATATATATTATATACTAGCAGTAGAGCCCGGCGTTTCCTGGGCATGTAACAGTAAGAGATAGATCAAGTATCGACCATCATAAAGACTGAAAAATAAAATTGACAAAGATTATTGTTTAAGGTTGACGCACACGCATGTCTTAATTAGTTTTTTTTTTTTTACGAATTGATCAAACCCAAACTCAAACAAAAACATTGTTTTCAATCGTTATGAGTCTACCGATTGAATAGAATTTTATTATAAACAATTGTCTTGTAAATGGAATTTTTAAAGCATTCTGAATGTAAAAATAAAGAAAAAAAGTGTGCAAGACAATAAGAAACACTACCTGCCAAAAAAAAATCGATTTTGTTGAAATCGGTTGAAAAATGTAGGAAATCCGATCCCATATATAAATGAACACACACACAAACAACCAACCTGGGTTTTATAATAAGTATAACTCGATATGAGTTGTTCCCCTTTCATTAATGCTTCTTAATCATGTTTTCAAATTGATTTCATGCAAAAATAATTGTGTTTTTCCAATTTTTGGTGCTGTCAGAACCACTGCAATGTAATTTTATGTAGTCCTGTGAAGTTTTGATGAAATCGGTTGAAAAATGTAGGAAATACGATCCCATATATAAACGTACACACACACACACACACACACACACACACACACACACACACACACACACACAATCTGCATTTTATAATAAGTAAGATTAGTTTTCATATTTCTGCTACACGAGTTTCCGGTTTCGTGACCTTCTTCAGACAAATACAAATATAATTTTCTTTATGTACTTTTAATTTTATGTTCATTGAATAATAAAATATAGTACATATTCTAAAAAAAATCCACATTATAACCCAAAACCTTTTTGGTTTCTCCCATTTTTAAAATATACATTATTCTTTCGTTAGAACAACTATAATCTATTCCCTATGTATTTAGTTAGATCAGGGCT